CTTCTATGCTTTGGGTCATTGTCCTGTTGCAACACCCATCTTCTGTTGAGCTTCAGCTGGTAGACAGATGGCCTTAAAGGGACACTGTAGTCACTCTAACCACTTTGTCTCTTTGAATTGGTAATAGTGCCTGGAGTGGCCTGGCACTGTCCCTCCATTCAGTGTTGTACCATGTTTGTGCAGTATGCCACAAAATAAGAATCCCTGGCCACCCACAGTCCGGCCCCTTCTGTATGTGTAGCTAAGGCAGAGATTACACACTTCATTGTTGTCATACCCATTCATACCGTCAGTTGGAGCTCTGACAGGTTAAAAGCAGTCAGCTGACACTCTCAGCCAATCACAGCTGCCCATTGCCTCTCAGGGTAATACTTCCTTATTAGCCAAAGCAGCACAGAGGGGATAGACTGCCAGGGACTCTTGTTTAGCATTAAAAAACATAACATTAAAAACTGTTTAATGCTGAAAGAAATGATGGTACCAGGGGACTCCAGACACTATAACCAGTTTAATGAGATAAAGCAGATACAGTGCCTACGGTGTCCCTTTAAGTTCTCCTGCAAAATGTCTTGATAAACTTGGGAATTCATTTTTCCTTCGATGATAGCAATCAGTCCAGGCCCTGACACAGCAAAGCAGCCCCAAACTATGAAGCCCCCACCACCGTACTTCACAGTTGGGATGAGGTTTTGATGTTGGTGTGCCGTGCCTTTTTTTCGCCACACATAGTGTTGTGTGTTTCTTCCAAACAACTCAACTTTGGTTTCATCTGTCCACAGAATATTTTGCCAGTTCTGCTGTGGAACATCCAGGTGCTCTTGTGCAAACTGTAAACGTGCAGCAATGTTTTGTTAGGACAGCAGTGGCTTCCTCTGTGGTATTCTCCCATGAAATCCATTCTTGTTTAGTGTTTTATGTATTGTAGATTCGCTAACAGGGATGTTAGCATTTGCCAGTGACTTTTGTAACTCTTTAGCTGACACTCTAGGATTCTTCTTCACCTCATTGAGCAGTCTGCGCTGTGCTCTTGCAGTCATCTTTACAGGACGGCCACTCCTAGGAAGATCAGCAGCAGTGCTGAACTTTCTCCATTTATAGACAATTTGTCTTACCGTGGACTGATGTACAGCAAAGCATTTGGAGATACTTTTATAACCCTTTCCAGCTTTATGCAAGTCAACAATTCTTAATCGTAGGTCTTCTCAGAGCTCTTTTGTGCGAGGCATCATTCACATCAGGAAATGCTTCTTGTGAAAAGCAAACCCAGAACTGGCTGGTGTTTTTTATAGGGCAGGGCAGCTGTAACCAACACCTCCAATCTCATCTCATTGATTGGACTCCAGTTGGCTGACATCTCACTCCAATTCGCTCTTGGAGATGTCATTAGTCTAGGGGTTCACATACTTTTTATGGTGTGTTCAATAATAACATGGCAACATTTCATTCTTTGTGTGTTATTAGTTTAAGCAGACTGTGATTGTCTATTGTTGTGACTTAGATGATGATCAGATCACATTTTATGGACCAATTTGTGCAGAAATCCATATCATTCCAAAGGGTTCACATACTTTTTCTTGCAACTGTATACACCAAATATATATATTTTTTTAAAGTTTAGTTGCTCAGCATCTCCAGCCATAAATACGGGAAGGGGGATTCAAAAGAAATTATAAAAATTTTATTTAAATCTCTAGACTGGAATCCTCATCTACCTATTGTTCCTGTGTGTCAGGGTGGCAGTCCGGTGCTCGGGACCCAGACACTGTCCGGGCGGGGGTGCGAGGACCGGGACCCACTATGCTTGATGTTCAAAGTAGGAGTCACAGTGTGGAGTAGGACTAGCAGGGTCTGGGGCAGGGTAACCGCGTTTGTGCAGCCACATACCAGAACCCTGATTCAGCTTCAGTGGATCCCAGGAACTAGGAGCTAAGCAGACCTCCCAGGAGCTGAAATAGAGAGGCTCTGTAGCAGGTATGTATCCAGTACAGAATCAAGAAAAGACTATGAAAGGCACCAAACATGAAAACAAGACAGAACTAAGAGAACGCAGAACCAGAGAAGGATAGGAAGCTAAACCCAGAACATGTACACAATACATAAGGGAAACAGACATAACATGGGGAAGACAGAACAGGACTGTACATGGACTGGGTATACAAACTAAAACAAGACAAGATAGACAAAACAAGAGGAGAAATAACTAAGCACTATATATAAAAATCTTGGGGATTTAGTCACATTATATGATCATACATTGCATAAGCCTGCCAACAACGCCAATGTACCCCATATCTGGCAGGTCCTACACTGCCTAATATATGCCAAAACAACCAAAGATGACATATATAGCACTTACCTGCAAGAAAGGGCAAAAGCCTTTAGCAGCTGCCTGCAGGAACACTGAAACAAAAGGAATGATGGAAAACAAACGGGTGTGTCAACATAAAACAAACATTTAAATGAATCCAAGAGACTGGGAAATCCAGGGACGGAATATAAGAATGAACCCAGAAAACCCAGCATAAAGAAAAACATAGAATAGAAAACCAATAAAACCAAGAAAAACTAAACAAGAATTGTAAAAAGAGTACTGGATACCAGAAGCCAAAGCCAGAATGATCCGCAGCGAGGAACAGGATGTGACACTGTGTTCCTGTTTCATTCTGCAATTGTCTAATTTATTTTTAAATTATCCCCTTTTATAATATTGTAAAGCGTTGCATAATAAGTTGGTAAATACCAATAATAATAATACTATATACTAAAATGGCTTGGGATCTTACTGTAGCATGCACTTCTAGCATCGTAATTAGAGTTCAGCGAACCCGAACTATAAAGTTCAGGTTCGTACCGAACATTAGGTTTTTTGGATCCCGGACCTGAACACGGACATATCACTGTATGTTCGGGTTGGAGTTCAGTGTTTGGTGATTTAATGGCGCGTTTTCAAAGGCTGCAGGGCAGCCAATCAACAAGCGTTTGACTCGTGTGCCCTTAGAAGCCAACACAGCCATGCCTACTAATGGCATGGCTGTGACTGGCCAGTGCATCATGTGACCCAGCCTCTACATATAAGCTGGAGTCGCGTAGCGCCGCATGCACATGCGGTCTTATTAGTGTAGGGAGAGGATGCTGCCACTGATAGGGACAGCTTAGGAAAGAATTCTGCAAACTAGTACATTAGTGGGGTGGGTGCACTTCATATCTGAGAGTCAAATAGAAGCTTCAAATACTGCTGTCACATTGCAGTTTTAAAACTTAAAAATGTTTGGGTCCTAAACTGCTGAATAGTATTTTAGTGGGGTGCACTTCATATCTGAGAGTCAAATAGAAGCGTCTAATAGTGCACTTACAGCGCACTTGTAAACATTCTAATTGTTTTGCTGCTAATCTGCTAAATAGTATATTTTGTGGCCTGCTCTTCATATCCGAGAGTCAAATAGAAGCGTCTAATAGTGTGCTTACTGCGCTGTTGTAAACATTCTAATTGTTTTGCTGCTAATCTGCTAAATAGTACATTTTGGGGCCTGCGGTGCACTTCATATCTGAGAGTCAAATCGAAGCGTCTAATAGTGTGCTTACAGCGCACTGGTAAACATTCTAATTGTTTTGCTGCTAATCTGCTGCTTACATTGGAGTTTTAAAAAGTCATTTTTTTTTTTGGTGCTAAATAGTATATTTGTGGTGTTCACTTCATATCTGAGAGTCAAATCAAAGCATAACTTTGATTTGAATTTACTACATTGGTCACTTGTAATATTGTTTCACACCTCCAACACTTGTTACACAGATCTAAGTGATAGAAAACAGATTGATATTTTCTACACTAGAAACTATCAAATAACAAGCTGCTATATTTAAAGGACCACTCTAGGCACCCAGACCACTTCAGCTTAATGAAGTGGTCTGGGTGCCAGGTCCTTCTAGGGTTAACCCATTTTTTCATAATTATAGCAGTTTCAGAGAAACTGCTATAATTATGAATGGGTTAAGCCTTCCCCCTAATCCTCTAGTGGCTGTCTCATTGAGAGCCACTAGAGGCGCTTGCGTGCTTCTCACTGTGATTTTCACAGTGAGAGCACGCAAGCGTCCATAGGAAAGCATTGCAAATGCTTTCCTATGCGACGGGCTGAATGCGCGCGCAGCTCTTGCCGCGCGTGCGCATTCAGCCGGCGGGGCGGATCGGAGGCGGAGAGGAGGAGGAGAGCTCTCCGCCCAGCGCTGGAAAAAGGTAAGTTATTACCCCTTTCCCCCTTCCAGAGCCGGGCGGGAGGGGGTCCCTGAGGGTGGGGGCACTCTCAGGGCACTATAGTGCCAGAAAAACGAGTATGTTTTCCTGGCACTATAGTGGTCCTTTAAACCAGTGATCAATGGCTAAGAGGTACTTCAACAATATTGTAATTCTGGGGCAATACCCTCACAAGTCAAACTGAGAGGTCAGTTTATAGGGAAACCTGTTGCCTGGAAAAAATTCTAAAACAATTTCCATATGTCCTTTGCAGACATGCTGGAAAAACACAGGTTGAGGAGTGGGTGGAAGATGATGTGGAGGATGATGAGGTCCTAGACCCCACATCGAATCAAGGTGATGCGAGTGACATGTGCAGTTTGGAGGAAGAGGCGCTGGCACAGCATAAGAGGGAGCAGGGTGCAAAAGCAGAGCGGCCATCCCTTAGCGCTCGAGGGCATGTATTAGCTTGAGAATTACCAGTTATTCAAGTAATACATGTAGCGATTAAAGGATCCATAATAGAGTTGAGCGAACCCGAGCTGCAAAGTTCAGGTTCGTACTAGAATTAACAATCCATTCGTAGTTTCACAGTGAGGTGGGCAGTCCGATGACCAGAACCCAGACACGGTCTGGGCGGCGGTCGGACGACCGGGACCCAGTATGCCTGATGTTGAAGTTAGGAGTCACAGTGTGGAATGGATTAGCAGGGTCTGGTGCAGGGTAACCACACACCCCCTAGTGTTGAGCACCAGTCCTGTATTGTTATTTGTCATCGCTACCTCCCCGCGTCGGGAGTGGGTCATTTGCGCGCCTTCTGTCTTCCTTGCATGTGGTAGCCGTTTCTCAGAGTCCCTGTACGGAATGTAACCCCGATTCCCCATTCCCGGTGGTCACCATGGTAGGCACAGAAACTGGCATCAAAAGTTGATATGGATGACATCCGCATGCATATGGATGATATGGATGACATCCGCAAGTCGCCGCCACGGGGATGTGCGATTGGCCCGAGGTTCTCTAGAGTCAACAAAGTGCCTGCGCAACTATAATGTCAACTACTACTCTGCGGAAAATAGTTGTCTTTTTTTTATATGTTCCAATATTTTGAGGGCTACCCCAATTTAAATATATATATATATATATATATATAAACAGTGAACAGTGTTGGCTACCTCATCCTCCTCCTCCTCCTTCTACACCGCCACGGTCACCACCTCCTCAACCTATGGGTCACTTAGTATAAACTAGGTACACATTAGCAGAGGCTTGTGAAGGCCTTTTCTGCATGCATTAGGAGTTGAGCATTTCTCCATGCATCAGGACTGCAAGAAATGCACAGCAGGCCGCAAATGTTTCTTTTTTTTGTATGTCCCAATATTTTGTGGGCTACCAGAATTTAAAAAAAAAAACCATAAAAAACAATGTTGGCTACCTCATCCTCCTCCTCCACCGCTGCTTCCACCTACACTGCCACGGTCACCTCCTCCTCAACCTATGGGTCACTTAGTATAAACTAGGTACACATTAGCATTTGGTACACATTTATGACAGATAAACATCCCAGATTCTTGAACAAAGTCTGCCCAATGAGCTTCTACGTTACCAACCCTGATTCAAAAACGAATGGAACAGCGATACTTTTCTCGGCGGATGTCCCTTTCCAGAAAGAAGCAGAACTGTCAGACTCAGAGGGCAGATACCTCATCATGAAGGGCAAGATACACAATTCACACGTTTGCCAATGTCTACCTCCCTAACAAAGGGCAAAAGCCCATCCTGATAAATATACATAGGGATTAAGGAGAGAGAGCAGGTAATTTTTTTTCTTTGGTTTTTACTATATGTATTAGCTGATGTGTACTGTAGTCGTTGCTGCCGCCCAGGAGTGATGGGAGTGAGTGCAGGACTTTTCTATTTTTATTTGTATTCACTTTTTGTATCACACAGCTAGGTTACAATGCTGCCGCCCATCCCATGTGTTCCCTATTAAGGGTTAACAAGTATATACAGTAGGTGTGTATATAACAAATACCCCTTTCGGTCTCATTAGAGATATTTTTGTCAGAAGCTCAAGGAAGCAAGGTAAAGGGTCAGAGTAGGACCCGTCTAGGGGGGTCTGCCTTGATGTTGGAGGGTGGGCATTCCCTCCAGTGGCCAATGGAGTAACTAAATGACCTCCATTTGTTTAAATATATATAGGGAGAGAGCGCAGGTAACTTTTTTTCTTTGGTTTTTACTATATGTATTAGCTTATGTTTACTGTAGTCGTTGCTGCCGCCCAGAAGTGATAGGAGTGAGCGCAGGACTTTTCTTTTTGTATTTGTATTCACTTCCTGATAAAAAGTACTCACAATCTTGGAATCCTATAGTGAAGGCACCCTCGTACTGGGAGGCGATATTTAACTCCACACTTCTTACTCACGCATTGACTATGTCTTCATCCAACATCACGGCCTGAATGATCTACACACAGCCACAATACCACCAATGTCCTGGTCAGACCACCAGAAGCAATGGATATGGTGACTCAGTGAGTTACTGCTGGACGACCCCCTGATTAAAACTGATGTTCAAACCAATCTAAAGCAATTCTTCCTTACGAATACTGTGCCGTACTCAACCCTGGAATCTGTCTGAGAAGCACATAAATGTACGGTTAGATGTTTCTTAATTGAGCACTAAGCTTGGCGTAAGAAACAACGCTCAAAAGATACAACTGATCTCTTGCTAAAAGTTGCAGATCTATAAACAAGACATAAAATCACCCTTGATGAAGACACCTACAAACAGCTGGTCTCAGCCCGGGCAGATGTTAACTCACACCTCATCTATAAGATTGCATTTCAATTCTGCTTAGCCCAAAAAAAACTTACAAATATGGCAACGAGCTGCAAAATGTTAGGTAGAGCTTAGCGATAGACAGAAAAGCTTTTTATCTCTAAGATCATGCACAATGGAGTCACCCACGCAGTGGTGTATCCTGGTTTTGTGCTGCCCTAGGCATGACAAAACTCAGACGCTGGGTGGGCTGTTGGGCGGATGGCGCTGGCGAGGGAGGACTTTCCCCTGAGCTCTCTGCTCAGCTCCCTCGCGCGCCGCAGAGTGATGCTGGGAGCCGGAATATGACATCATATTCCGGCTACCAGCATCATTCTCCCTCGCCAGCGCCGCCCCCGCCTGACCGACCGGATTTTTAGTTATCCGCAAGGCTAACAAGACATTTGCCCTGGGCATTTGGGGGCGGCTTTTTTTGCCACCCCATGGAAAATGCCGCCCAAAGCAAATGCCTTGTTTGCCTCGCGGCTAATATGTCCCTGCACCCACGTCACCCTGAAATTAATAGCGGAGGGATTCCGCTGGTATTATGAAACCCTATACAACCTACCAAACCACGTTACAGGAAGTGAATTGGATATACTCAATAAACAAATCACTTACCTCATGAAATACATTAATACCAGGATTGGAGCAGATATGATTTGTGCCTTGGAGGAACCGATTACAATTGAAGAACTGTCCCTAGATCTTAAACTAGCTAAAAAAAAGAACCCTGGACCATCAAATATTATAGGACCTTTTTTAAATTTCCCACACCACACCTACTCAATCTGTTCAACAATATCAAAGACTGAGGATCCCTAGACCACAATAGGCTACTACTACTGGCGAACATAGTGGTATACCAAAGGAAAGTAAAGACACTGCAGACCGATCTCTCTGCTGAATGCTGATCTGAAATAATTTGCAAAGATCCTAGCTGTCTGCATCCAACCTATCCTACCTGACACAACCGCACCAAATAATGTTTGTCAGGAATAGAGAAGCTCGGGATAATACCACCAAGGTAACTAACCTTGTTCATGCAGACTGGACGAACTCATCTCCTTCCCATCCACGGATGTAGAGAAAGCATTCAACAGGGTAGATTGGTCCTTCTTGTTTGCAACACTATTGCAATTGGGCTTTGGCCCAAACATACAAGCATGGATTGGAGCCCTCTACACTAACCTGTCAGCATGGGTCTACATGAACAGTACCCTATCACGGCCGTTCCCGATCAGTAATGGAACCTGTCAAGGGTGCCCTCCCTCACCCCTATTATTCATCCTCAGCTTAGAATCTTTCTTAAATGCAGTGCGCAAATGACCCAATATTTCCGGCATCTGTGGTAAATGGGGAGAACGCTCAGACTATGCTGACAGTCTCCTATTTACAGTCCAACTAGGAATGTTGTTTCACATCTGGTGGACTTGTCCACTAATCCAACCCTTCTGGAGGGAGGTACACCGCATAGTAACAACGCTCATTGACGATGCGGTTGACTTATAACCAGACAGCTACTTGCTACACCTAACCTCCCTATCACCAATTACATACAAGAAATTGATAACAGATGGGCCGAATGGTTCTTACCTACTGTCACATTCTGTAGCAGACTAGATGGTACGAATGGTTCTTATCAGCTGTCACATTCCATATCTGATTAACGCTGCCTGTTGCCTTATCCCGACTTACTGGAAATGGAATTCAGTCCCCTCCATTGGAGACTGGATCAACAGAGTTGAAGACATCTGGAACATAGAAGAACTCATCCTGACGGCAGCTGAGAAGAACCAATTGTACCTGAAGATCTGGTTTCCATGGCTGACAACAAGGTAAACAAACCTTGGGCACGGATCACCAACACTGGACAGAACGCATTTGATTTACAACAGAACCCAGGGTCAAACACACCACTGAATCTGGACTCTTCCTGATGAACCAGAGTGGTTTTACGATAGCAACTCTGTGGGGGTGAGGTGGTGAGACTGGGGGAACAACTTACTCACCCTACTCCCGCCCCTTTTTTTTTTTTCTAAATATTGCTGACCCATGCCCTCCAGCCCCTTAACTCCCTACTTCCCTTCTTCCTTCAACTCACAGAAACCGGCCATAATATGCCTTTTTATATGCACATTTTTAACACTCAAGTCCGCCTGCCTAGGAGCAAAAAACCCATATAACGACTGAGTTGTTATAAACCAACATCATATCTCTTAAGCTACACATTTGTATGAACCCATGCGCTAATTAACTCCATACTATATGACATATGTTTTCGTTAATGTTAACTGTATTAATCTTGCAATTACTTTTGTCACTGTAGTTAATGATTTTGTACCAATAAACAACATTCTTGAATAGATACATATCCTGAGACCTCTACTAAAGAGATCATTGACAAACTAGAGTTCAACACATTATGCTTAAAGACTCTGTACTATAAAGTAATGCACAGTATGGAAATGTAGAGTTCATATAGAAAACTTTTCAGTTCATAGTTGTAATTGATGTACTCCATAGATATTTAGTAAAAATGAAAATAACAAAAGATCTAAAAAGAATTGATTGAACTGAAAAAAAAATAGAAAAATTGATTACCAAAAAATAAAATGAAAAAAATAAAGTGTATATATACACACAAAAAAAGGCAATAAATAGAAGTCACTGATAGGTCTTAAGAACAATCTCACCCATTCTGTCATAGAAAGAAACAATGAAATATTAAGTCATTCTTCAAATGAATAAACTCCTATAAAAGGGTCCAAGCTCACTTCTTATTAAATCACTGCATCTTTGGCTGACTCCATATCTCAACGTCTCTTCACATGTGTAACGGATCACCTGGCACCCCGACTGAGTACCTTCGTTAAAGGATGCTCCTAGCGTTTCCTGAGGACTCCAAGCACTCTGGCAGACACCACAATCACCGAACCGGAGATGCGTATACCTTCTCTCAAGCATATGAATGCTATAAACAGTTGAATAGGCCAAAAACCATAGGGAGGGGTTTGGACTCCTAGCAGTCAAACTGGAACAGCATACAATAAATCCTCCCCCAATATTGAGACGACACTTCACTTTGAGGGTTAAGCAGGAACTCAAGGTTTATTCACACCACCTCCTTTTAAGACATTCTCCCATGCAAGGGAGGGGTTTACAATAATTAGTACAACAGCCAATCCCATACCTGTTACCTCCCACACATCTCCTCCCCTTAGATTAACACTTAACATAATTATACAGTACACACTTTTCCCCAATTCTTGGATGTACCCCAAATATGGGGGGTACACCTTTAAATGTATCCAAAAATCACCCAGATCGGAGCAGGGGTT